TTTATTTGTACCCTCTCAAACGCATAAGTGGTATGGGCACGTTTATGCGATTTTACAATCAAATGATTAGATTTTATAATCAACAATGCAATCCCAGCAGACTTTACCGGCTAGCGATATTACTACAGGGTGATCGCCTTTTCACAGCTTGTTGAGCTACGCGCGCGCTCGTAAGTTCATTGCATTTGCACGCTTCAAACATTCCAAAGATGCAATTGTACCGCGTACCACGTGATACGATTCAGCCAATCAGAGAACAAGAATCTGCAAAGTTAAAGCTGCGCACTTTTATAAGGCCCAAAATAAGACTTTTCGCCATAATTCAAAATCTACGTTGTTTTAAAATTTCCCCCTAGCTGGGGGGGAAACATTACTTTTACAAGGCGAATATTTTATTGAAAACCAGACGTTTCTATCTCTTTTATTTTCGAAGTTAGGCCCCTACCAGTAAGGTTTCCTGGGCCCAGTTTACGGCGTAGCAGGGTATTTTGGTTCAAGACTTTAAAGAATCGCAAAATTGGCCGTATTATTCCTCCAAACGTACGACTTAGATGGACTGAGATTAGCCCTTAAAATACAGCTTACACTTTTTATTTTACATCTTATGATTGGGTCGTTATTCTAAACAAAATTTGTCAAGAAGTGTGGCTCACTGGTCACTTAATGTCACTTAGAGCTCAATTATAGCGACCATGGTCTGTCGACTGGCTGCAACAGGTGCATATGATCTGTGACACGAGATATCCTTGTATTGTGTTTGGCTTGTAATAACTCTAATTGGGTATTTCGTCACAAGTCATGCGAATCTATACTTATACATAAAACCTATACAACGCGCAGTTTAAAGACTTTCGGTTTCACTTTTAAAAGCATCCACTTTGACAAAGCATAACCCGCCATTAACCCCCCCCCCCCCGGCCCCCCCCCCCCTTTGCAGCTTCTCGGCTATCTCATACCCAGCAGACCTTACCGGCTAGCGATATTACTACATGCAGGGTGATCGCCTTTTCACAGCTTGTTGAGCTACGCGCGCGCTCGTAAGTTCATTGCATTTGCACGCTTCAAACATTCCAAAGATGCAATTGTACCGCGTACCACGTGATACGATTCAGCCAATCAGAGAACAAGAATCTGCAAAGTTAAAGCTGTGCACTTTTATAAGGCCCAAAATAAGACTTTTCGCGATAATTCAAAATCTACGTTGTTTTAAAATTTCCCCCTCACAGGAGGAGCTAAGTGCAAAGAAACTGTCACTAACTGCTACAAACTGCCACTAACTGCCACAAACTGCCACTAACTGCCACAAACTGCCACTAACTGCCACAAACTATTATTGCATTACTCGTTTAAATTTCTTTGAAGCTAAGCAGTAGCGCGCACCGAGCTAGTCCATTATTAATGAACAATTTTTATTTTCAATAAGCAAAGGCCATGGCCAAAAATTACATTTTTCTCATAAATCTTAATACTAGATATGAATAATTTTAATTATAAACTTCAAGCAACAATTTAAGTCGATACTTTAAAAAATAGTTAAATTATAGCTTCTCCATGAAACAAATTGTGTTTTTTGGGTTGGCCAATTTTTACAAATTACAATTTTTACATAAGGTTGTAGGTTTATAACCTACCATACCCAAGACGCGCGCCGAGTTGGACTCGTCGACGGTCTTTTGAAGCAAATATTTTACGAGTATCACCCGTTTAATTAGGCAGTGCGCCATCGACCGTAAGACGCGCACGCTGACCATTGAATGGTTTTTTAGCTCGTATTTCGGCCAGCACATTATTTCGGAAACAATCAAAAAGTTATAATACTTCCCATATAACAATTTTGTTGAAATTTGGTCAGCTTACGTAAACACTTATGTTGTACTGAACCTAAATTAGTTTGAGCAATTTCGATGGTCAGAATTTGAGTTATCGCAACGAATTTATACCTATTTTATCATTTTTAGACCTCTTAATGACTTAATGAAGGCCAATCTCTCCAAACTAAATTAGGTTCTGTAGTTAAGTATGATTAGAAGGTTCTGACAAATTTTCAGCATGATTCATGTTCAATGTTCAGGAACCTAAGATATGACAGAATAATACGACAAAAATCAACGAATTTCGCCAAATTACGCGACTTTTACAACTAATTTTGCTTGCTAAAGCCGCGCACTATCAAATATGGCACCTAGGCGAAACTCACTGATCATTCCAAAAAGGTTTGACAAATTTGGTACTGTGAAAATTCTCACAGTCTTTAAAAAACAATGGTACAAAAATTTTGAAAATCCGAGAAAGTTTATTTTTATCGTGCACCCCCTAGTTTAATATAACACATATATATATAACAGGAACTTACCTGGGGACCTCAGGCTATCATGTTTATAAACGAATAGAGATTAGGCGGAATGACAGGCTGAGCGCGGCCCAGTAAGCATGCAGTAGGAACTTAATTGACGATGTCAATTCATCTCAGCTCGGCGCGGCACAGTAGCGCATCTCGCCGATCTTGTCGCTGTGAGAACAGAGAAGCCTCCATGCATTGAGTGCGCGGCGCGGCACAGTATATAACGCATCGCGCTACAAGGCAGGAACCCGTATAATATAACCCTAAACGGTGTCAAGATTCAAGAGACTAAAATAATTATTACCTATTTAATTTGCGTTTTTGACACCACTTTTAGCTTAGGGGTCCACATTTTGGGCTTTAAAATTACTATTCCTTGGCCAATTTTTTATTTTTTCATGCTGATTTGGAGGCCATTAAAGCATTTGACCCATTCAAAAAAGTTTCAGTTGTATATCTTTTACGGTTTTTGCGGAAAGTCGCGTTAAAGTTGATGCCGTGGTGTCAGTAAAATGTTGACGGATGTTACTCGTCTAAATTTCTTCGAAATAGCGCGCGCCGCTTTCTTCTCGAAATGCCCGACGGCACGAGCTACGAAGTAGCGCGCGCCGGGCCAGATCATTAACAATGGTCAAGTAAAATGGCACGGAAAACTATCGTCTCGCTTCAAGTTTATATATAGTAAGATATAAGGGCCAAGGGGTAATATAAGCGGTCGTTCACATTGACATAATATTAAGTAATCACTTTTTAGAACATTTTTACTTCCCCCCCCCCGGCCTCCGTAATCAGTTCTACACATAGCTATCGTGTCACGTCAGAATTACACTGGCGTAATTATTTGGAAACCCCGAAACCCCCCTCGGCTGATTACGTAATATGTGAACGACCGCTAATATATTGTAGATTTACAACCTACCAGCCTGGTAGGTTGTAAATAGGTGGTAATCCTGCGCGGTCGATCGCTTATTTCGAGACGTAATACAGCTTAAAAGTTGAAGACAAGTTCAATCAAATGGATCTTTAGACACTTATTCATCTTTCGTGCAATTATCTTGAAGTAAAGTTTTTTAGAATGGAAATACTTTTAGCTTTACTGATGGAAAGTTTCACGATGTTCTAGAGTCAACGTCATCCATTTAAGTGACAAAAGGACGCTACATGTCACAGAATGACTTGATTTTCCGTTAAAAGTAGCCATTAGGTAACTTCATGGCCTTAGCAATGTTTATTTCGTGTTGGAAGTAAATTATAAGCTCTCTGTGGAATTTGGTTAAACGTGGTATTGACGAAATTTACGAAATTACGTATAAATTGACAAAATGGCGACAAAATGGCGTACAAGGTCAACATTTGTAACGTAAACGAAACAGCGCGCCAAACAAGGTAGACTGACTCGAACATTTCTCACGTGCGAGAGCTCTACTGCGCGTTCCACAGACTCTCTGGCGCCATTTCACCGAAACTGCAGTTGTTTTGCGACGTTTGTAGCTCGAGTTATAGTTCAAAATGTTTGCGAGTAGGCGTGTTTCTGACTTGACTTATATTATTGCGTTTATCAAATACACGGATATTTGTAAACTTATCATACTTTATGCTATCGTTTGGAAAAGTTATTTGTACATAGATTCCAGAAATTTTCATGATTGCATCATTTTATTACAATTTATCATGAGCTTTTGAAAACAGTCCGACGCTGAGCCCAAATTTCAGCAAAATAACGCCGTTTTTTCGTAACACTTTTTTTGATTCAAGGCCGTTTTAAAATCACGATATTCCAACAATGCAAGTTTTCCCAGAATTATGGCCGTGTGTTCTGATCTCATCATCGTTAGAACTATACCATGATACCAAAAATTTATAAATCCGAGAAACAAAATAATTATTGATTATCACCTATTGTAAACCTACAATATATTAGCGTCCTGAGCTGGTAACCAGGACACGCGCCGAGTTGGACTCGTATATGGAACAGATATTTTACGAGTTTCACCCGTTAACTAATATAATGTAATGATTCTGACCATTATCAATTATTCAAAGCCCAAGATGTATTATTATTATATATGGAGTGGGAATACTGTATACTATCTAGAGTTTTATTAATATATAATCATTTAATCTTTATAGTTTATATTAGTTTAAATTGAATGAAAGCTCGGAATCAGTATACAAATTAATAGAAAATAACGTTTTTGTAATATCGAATCTGCTAAAATGTTAGATATTTGCAATAATATCAAACGTTAAATTTTTAATGTAAAAACGATTTATAGTTCTACAAAGTGTGCATCTCACTCTCAGTTATAGTAAACTGCTTAAATGTTTAAAAAGGTGCTAATTTTTATGCACTGTGTCTCTTATTGCTTATACAATTTAAAAAAGCACACCATGACCAACATTATACGTATGAAATATTTTTTCAAATTGTTAAATGATCCTGCACGTGCACTAAATTAAAATGTGTGCATACCACAATTGAACGGAAAATCGTTTAAAAGCGCTTATGAGGCACCTCAAAAAGAACACTATTTCATTTTGAGGAAAAATATTAATAAGACAAGCGACGTTCTTGAGTTTTTTTATTTTTCTCGAAAGCATGAAGTGTACTGCATTTTTTTCATAATTGCATATTATGCTGATTGGGATTACATTTATAAAAGTTATTGCAATGCTGAATGCGTGTAATTTGAGGAGTATGCTTGTTCGGAGATATAAATCACGCCTTAAAAAAGCTCATAATAAAATTTTATTGTTCCTTGACTAAGGGTCTCAATAAAATTATAAATAGGACTACTGATGCTGCAGTCACGTGTCCAGTTATGTCTTAATAAGTTAGCTCTCCGTACCGCTCTCGCATGGTGAGTCTTCACGGTTCACCAGGTGAGTGTCTCTGAGGTGATCATTTATATTCTTTGTCCATTCAACTCCTTCAAACTGTCCTGAACATTTTTGTTGGTCTACAAACTATAAAGGGAAATGAGGAACTCTTGTGAAAATTAACGTTCGATATGGTCTAATTGGTCTTCCGTGATATTACATTATTAGTGTTCCCTTAACGAAGTGAGGATAAAAGGAAACTGTACTTAGATTAGATTAGATTATATTAGTATCGTTAACTTAGCAATGAAGACATCGTCAATAAAAAATGCCCCTCAGCCCACTATGTCCATTTACCAGTTTCAGATTAAATTTAAAGTAAAACTTATGACTTACTAAGCATTGGATATGAGAGTTGCTCGAAGACGTCGCACACAGGTTCTTGGTGGTACTGGCGGAAGTGGTCGACAATACCTTCGGTTATATTCGTGCCAACAAATTTCCCTGAAAAAAAAATTGTAAATTAAAGTCTGTTTATGAGGTCACCGTGCTCTTAAACTTAATTAGTGTGCGTTACCTTATCCAACTTTATCTGCACGGAAATTAAGTGGAAGCTGGAAGCCTTAGCGTTCATATTTCTGTCCGTTCAAATAAACTTGGTCCGTTTACAGTCCGTCCAAGCTAAAGTACACTTAAATGTTTCCCTGACATGAAGTACTTACTATCCAAGAAATGAATTCTTTTAAAAAGTAAATGCATATTACATATATAGCTAGATGTTCAGAAGTTGGAGTGATAATAAGGTTAATGAGTGTTAATAATAATTATAAAGGAAGTTTACTCTTACCCAACAGTCCCCAACTGGAAGACAGTTGCTGGAACAGTTCCTCCGTCAGCACCTTGTTGTAGTAGGGAGTGGTGTATAGGACATCCCACCTGGTGATGTACTTATATGTCCTGGCGGTCTCCAGCTGGGTCAGTGTGCTTGTTAGGGAAGTTGAGCAGGTATCCAGCTTCTCCCCTGTCTTGTTGTGCTGCGCTGACTCTGTCTGCAGTTCTTCTTGAGTGACATTCAGTACACCTTTTACTGTTCCTAGCTCTTCCTGAGTGGTATTCAGTTCCTCCTGGGTGGAATTCAGCTGTCCGATTACCGATTCCATTGCAGCGTCTGTTTTGTTGAGGTCCCTGGTGACTACGTCTAGCTTCTCCTCAGTAGAGTTCAGTTTACCTCGCACAGCTCCTAGCTCTTCAATAGTGGTATTCAGTTCACCTCTCACAGCTCCTAGCTCTTCAATAGTGGTATTCAGTTTATCCTCCGTCTCACTTAGTTGACTTTCCGTTTCGTTCAGCCGTCCAGTCACATTGGCCAGCTCCTCTTGTGACCTCTTCAATCGAGTTTTTAAACACTCCACCATATCATTATCATCAATCTCTACCTCTCTCACAGATCCGCTCCTGGACTGGGACAGTATGTGTTCCCATCGCAGATCCCCAGTTCCAGAGAATTCTGTAAGGTCCGAACACATTCCACCTTCTGCTATTTTCTTTACATCAGCCGAGCTGAGTGCCTCAGAGAATATGTTGAACTGGTAAATCTGGCCTCCGAAAATGCTACTAGAACTTGTACTGTAAGAAAATCTATTGAAGAACAGAGTTCCTCCCATTTTCAGTGTTCTTCCAGAATCTGTCGTACCTGTGCCTATCAAATTACCGTCAAGATACAGGTTGATGCTCCTCGAGGCGAGTGACCAAGTAATACAATAGTGAAACCAGCTCCTGACAGGTGTTGTGAACACACTCTCCTTATAGTTCAAATCTCCATCTCCTACTACGTGGTTGTAGTGCCCATTAGAAGTTATCAAGATCTCATTGCCACTTGCATAGTAGTTAAACACTAGCGGGTAACTGTTAGAGGTGTCTACACGTTTTATCCAACTACAGATGGAAAAGGAATCTTGGAACGGGGCCATATTATAAGTAAATCCAATGTAGTCATTACTGGAGGTACCAAAGTGAAGAGCAGTGTACTGCTTATCATCAGAGGCAACAGTAGGTAAGACGATGACGACGATCAACAAGAGGAACATAACTGCGGTTTGCGAGCGGGAATTGAAGCTAATATTATCTAGTCAGAGTATGCGGAGGTGTCACACAAAAGTTGGAACTTTCGAGAGCAGAGCTGATTTGTTTCAATATGAACCTACATGGAACCGCTAACATTTTAACGCTAGATAATGTAACGGGGTGGCACGAAAACCCTCATAGAGCTAGCAGTCTAGAAATTGATAATTTATCATTCATATTTTTAAGATCAGGCGAGGATTCGCCCCAAGTTCAGAAGTCTTATCGTGGTACGAAGTTATTTATAATACACACGAGACCGGTAGCGTGTTAACAACAAGTTGGGATTCAAATTAGAGGGTATAATTCTTTTGAATACCTTACTCGGGAATATTATAGCGGGTTAATTTATGACTGAAAAATTAATGACCGGGAAAAATATGGCGGAATTTTCCAAAACCCACCAAGCATTAAGATGTATTACTATTAGTTTACCTTACTCGGGAACATTATAGCGGGTTAATTTATGACTGGAAAATTAATGACCGGGAAAAATATGACGAAATTTTCCAAAACCCAACACTTCATCCCAGTCATAATATTCCCGAGTAAGGTAGATTTATTTTACATTTAAAATTTCACTGATCTTAGTTCTTACAACCTGGAAATAATTATAATTAGTAATTGGGCAAATTACTTATTAGTAGTAAATGAAATAAGATAAATCAGTACAGAATTTCAAACTTTTACATTGTGTCTCTGGTTATAAATTATATAATTCGTTACAGTAACAATGTTCACAATTTTCTAAGGAACCGTTCAAATTTTACGTAATCACTTTTTGGCCAATTTTTAACCAAATTTTAGACCAATAGATCATTCACAATTGTAGTTGTACGCCAAAATTTTTGAACTATCCCCTATACTTAAATATCTTTTTGAAATGTTCAATCAAACCCGCTTTAAGTAAGGTGAATAAATTATGCAGTATACGATACACCGGTAATATGTATTACCTTATCGGCCCTATAATTCTGCTGCTTCATCTTTAAGGTTAATTATATTAGGTACTTAACATGTATAATATAATAGCATGTGCATCGCGTTTAATCTGTTTTTAGCTATAAAATGAAATCAAAATTTTTTGAACGAAAGATCTGGTGTTAAACCATAAAATCTCCGGAAAAGTCCAGTTTAAGATATTTTAATCGCTGGCACAAATGCAAACCCTCTTACAGTCTTACTTAGCAATATTACTATTAGGGGTCGTTCACATTATTACGTAATCACTTTTTGGACAATTTTTAACCCCCCCCCTCTCAGTAATCAGTTTTACACATAAATATTGTGTGAAAATTACACTAGCATAATCATTTGGAAACCCCCCTTCCCCCTCAGTTGATTACGTAATACCTTTATCAGACCTTATTTGGACGGACATTAAATGAACGGACATAATTATGAACGGACATTAATATGAACGCTAGAAGGCACTCAAACCATCAAAAATCCGAATTTTTTTCATTTTTTTAAACGTTTTTTTATTTCAGAAAATTATTTTTAAATCCATTTTTATACAGTAAGTAAGAAAAGCAGTCGTTAAGCAGTAAAAATGTTAAAAGATGTGTACATGATCAGTGTTTCACTGTTTAATATCGCATATCATCTTCATCAAATGGGTTTTTGTGCATGAAATAGTTCAACGTTAAAAAATTAACCTTTAAAATTAACCAACGTTGGCCTTCAAAACGTTTAAAAACTTTTCATTCACAATCTAAAATTAAATACAACGTTAAAACGCTGTTCAATTTTAAACGTTGCTCATATCAATTGGTTCATCTTTTTGGGCGTTCGTGTAATGTTTTTTATCCCAGTTTCAACGTCTTTTCAGTTTCAATGAGTCAGCTAGAAACTTGATCTCCATTTCCAGACTTTCATAATATTAATGGTCATTAGGCTCACATGACTATATATAACTGTCTAATTGAATAATTGGAAGAGAACTCCATCAGGCCTAGCTGAACCAAGCGGGGAGTTGATACACCTTTCACAAGCAAGAGCCACTTTGGTCTACTTGCTGTGAGGTGTCTCAGCTACGCCTACATGGGTTGGGGGTCCCCCCTTTTCTTTTTTTTTGGCTTTGCTGTTTGGTCTGCACTTATCACCATTATTTAGGACTCAACATGATTTAGTGTTTTACAGTGTGGGAGCTTGGGAGTAACTCTTAGAGGGAATATCAGATATCTTCGATCAGATTTGCAAGGGTTTTGCTTAATACCGTCCTTTTTCCAGTTCCCGCTCTCATTAGCGATTCATCAAGAGCGCTTTTTCCATGGGATTTATTTTCGTTGACTTACATATTGCGTAGTCTGAACTCTGATATCATTGTGGTAATTTAATTTCCCGCCGAAGCTGCAAGATTTTGCAGTTTTCAATTCCCGGGTGCATATAATTATTAATTATATAGACTTAAAATAGAATTAAAGTCGATGTACCAAGCGCTTAAGGTTGTTGCAATCTATAAATCAATTTTATATTGGAGAAAATCTTTAGTCTCGTCTAATAGACAATGTCCTTGGCAACACGATTTACCGTAATAACTAATATATTATGTAGAGGGTGGAACAAGTTTGTAATGTTGGCGGGGACTAGCTCATGAACTATGTTGTTGAGTGCCATAATTTCGTTGACTTTTTCCGCAAAGTGCCCCTTGAAAACATAATATACTAGTAAAGTTTTCTGTGCCTCCGGCAGACCAAGGAAAACCTTTCCGCCGTTAACTTACGGCACAATAAAGTTCTCATAGTTGTCATATTCTTGATAAAAAGTTCGAATTTTTGAAAAAAGTTCAACGGACTTTAACTTGGACGGACCTTCAATGAACGGACTTTATTTGAACGGACATTAAAATGAACGTTAAGGCCTCCAGCGTTTAATTAATGTCCGTCCAAATAAGGTCCGATAAGGTATGTGAACGACCCCTCATATCAGTACTCCAGAAATCTATATCAATTGGTGGGCCAGATTAAACTTCACAACTTTGCGATGTGACATTTACTGTAAACCAAAGGTTTGTTGAGCTCGTCAAAATATTCTGTCATGCATACCCAAGTTGATCTCCTTTCTCCAATCAGAAGTGGAGATATGTGGGTTTGGATATCGCAAAAGCACCAAAAAATGGCGAGGTCAATTGCGCAAAACTGCCCCATATTCAGAAAGTCTACCCTAGCCAAATTTGTTTCTGATGGGTCCCTTGAGCCGTTCCAGGTCTCAAACCTTGGGGCGAAAGAGTAAAGACGTGTCTACGGTAATATTTTCAAACACATGACTTATAGTTTATACCTTTGAACATCCTCGATTTGCTTGAATCTCAATAATGGTGATCTGGAGTCCAGTCTTACACTAAGTATCAGAGCTACTTCAGTTATTGAGTTATGCCCAATTGAAGGGTAACACTGGATAAGGAGGAATTATTTTAGGGCCTACGAAATAATTTCTACGGATATTTTGTCGAGGTGAACATCCTGCACCCTTTGAACATCCTTGATTTGCTTGAATCTCAAAAATGGTGATCTGGAGGCCTGTCTTACCTAGGTTCTAATCGGACTTATCAGAGCGACTTCAGCTATTGAGTTATGTCCAATTGAAGAGTAAGACTGGATCTGGATTCTGGAGGAGTAATTTTAGGGCCTACGAAATAATTTCTACCGGTATTTTGTCGAGCTGAACATCCTATCCTGCACCCTTTGAACATCCTCGATTTGCTCGAATCTCAAAAATGGCGAGCTTGAGGCCAGTCTTACAGGTTCCCACCGGACGTATCAGAGCTAATTCAGATTGACAGGCTGAGCGCTGCCCAATAAATTCATGAATAGCTAGTTCATTAGTTTTTAACTATCATAGAGAAAGACATACCATCTCGTGACCCCTTATTCTTAACAAGCTCAAAAACGCTACTGACGTATTTTCCGTGAAAAGCACAATATCGTGAGTTGCTTTTGTTGAGGTGCCTCGAAAGTAATCTTCAACGATTCCATGTTCAATTTTGGTAGTAGAATACCAACTTATTGCTGCAGAATCAAGCTAGTTACATACATATTTCATACAGGTCTATCAAATTGGATGGGCTTTCGATGGAGATACAACCTGCGCCAACCATAAAAACCAAAGACACCTGACAAATTACGGGCGAGTGAAATGATATGAGCTGTACAGTTACAATTTTAAGCACACTTCTTATCGACTTCAAATCATACAATTTTAGCACTGGTACAAACATTTCAAGAATTTTGAACAAATAAAACACAGCAGATGATAATTTAGCTTTAAACATAACAGTTTCAAATAATGTATGAGCTATATTGGATTTCTCAGATCAGAACCAACTAAAGACTCTACAACTCTGATAAAGATGGGCGTGACACAACCACCATCTTTCAAAATGTCAGTCAGGCCAAATTTTATTGTCGACGACAATTATGGCCGAAAATGGTCGTTGTGTTTTCCCGTACAGTGTATCTGTATTCTTTTAAATATTAGCTAAAATTACTGATCGGTTATTTTACCCATCAGTTGACTCTACTGATTGACCAATTACTTAATTAACTAACTAATTACTTATTTAATTAGTTAATTAATTAACAAATCGTAGCCTGATCTGTAAACCTTCCACATTAAATACTTAACATTCAAAAATGGAAAAAAAAACTTCAAAAACTAAGCTTCACTCTAAAAATATTCAAGCAACGCTTTCTTAATATTTTTTCAACAGTCAGCTTATCTATTTCCAAGTTAATTCACTTTAATATTTAAATTTGCTGCGTGACAAATCATCGGTAAAACGTATCAATGACCTGAGCGCATAAAAACAAAAAAAGAATAACGGTTTCGGAACATATAAATTGGATGAAAAATCAGAGTTGGACAAAATAAAAATGTTGTAACGTGTTACGGTGAAGATGAGTAATATAATAATATATTTAATATATCTATTAATAGATAAACTATATGAAACGCAATAAACATTGAATTATATAAATCATGTCGATGAGTCTATATATTATGGTATAAATAAAAACGTTGTAAAAATCAAACAAAAATAAAGTGAGACTTTCGGTTGTATAAAACCAAACATCTCGGCGAACTACACGGTACCTTCCTAGAGATTAGAAGCGGGATTTGGTCATGCTAAAATTGTCGACCAAATTTTTTAGATGGTTCCTCTCTGCGAGGACAAAACATAAACTCTTACCAAAATGGTGGTTTTCGGAAGGATCATGTATTTCGCTACTGTTTTGAATGGCGCTAATAATATGACTCTGTGAAAATCTTTACATTTACAAATTCGTCTATATAAGCGACCGTTTCAGACCCTAAATCCATAATAACCCCCTTATTATTCATGAATTAGAAGGAAAAACACTAAACGAAGGAATGTTCGTTCGGAAATGGCCGCTTTGTCTAGTTGAAGAGACGGCAACAATCTTAGTTTTTAAAACGTTGCCAAATATAATATAGATAATCTAATTAAATCTAAGGTTTTCGTTAAAATCAATCACCTAAATGAATACATCACCTAATGTACAATGTACATCGCCTAATGTATGTATATTACAGTTACCATATCAATATATCAAATATTTGAACCTATCTATGCAAAAGTGTTCCCTAAAAATCGTTCCTATTTAACATAACGTATTTGCTATATCACTTGATAAATTATATATTGCTTAAAAGGTTGTTTGAATCCCAAACGCAACGAGTCAGTATATTTTGCGAAAGTTTGTAAAATCAAAATTGAAAGGGGAAATTCATCAAAAAAACAATCAAATTCCAAGCCCTTGAACACGAGGAATAGAAACAAAGAAGCAAAATTAACGATAGATATTAATACAGTTTCTGCAAATAAATCTGCACAGCAGTCTAAATTAACTCCAATCACGTGATCGCGTCGCATGTCAGTGTGTTGAGGGAGGGAGGTGCGACCTCTGCCACACAACTCAATCTCTCAAACGATTAGAATCTTTTTTCATCTCAGCACTTCTTAAATCACCTCGGACACGTGACGGGCACGTGAAGGACACGTACTGCAGTCACTTCATCAGTTTTTATGTGGATCTAATCTCTTGCACACACAAACATTATCTCTCTCTCTTGCTCAGGGTGAGAGCTGCGCTATCTGATCTTACCTCGGAGTGCACATCTCTAAAAACAAAACAAATCTCACTCAGCAGGGGAGAACTCGCCTCCCGCCACCTAGTTCCTACGTCATAGTCCCAAAGCGCGGCGCTGGTAAGCAGGGTGACGAGAGCGAGGGGGGCAGCGTGTTGCACCGCGGAAGCGACCCCTCCGGGGTCATGCTCAGGAAATTGTGATGGCTGGATTTGGTGCTGGACTTCATGAAGTCGATGGCAGTTTTGATCTTCTTTTGGTGACCAGCAAGTGTGATGCCGATTTTGTGGAGATCTTCGTCCTCCATCAGAACAACTCTGTCGATAGTGTCCCATCCTGTGGTGTTTCCCGGTGAAAATGAGATTTAAGTTTGAAATTTAATGCGTGTAATTTTCAGTTTTAACCACCTGCATACCACAGAAAACCAAAAAAAATTATTCGCAGCAGCCGCCCAATTCCAACACTTCTGAAAAAATGGAATATTGTAAATTAAGTAAAAGAGGAAATACCTGTGTTCATAAAGTGGGACTCATATTGAGCCAGCCCCATCCCATGTAACCACTCAGATACGGACATCAGCCGATCTTCAGTGTTTGCATACTGCTTCATTAGGTTAGGAAAACCACTGAAAATTTTTTAGCTTAATTTCATGAAACCAAATTGACACTTTTAATTTTTTAGTTGTTTTTGAACTACCTGTAAGAATTAATTATGTCATGAGATGAGCTGATTTTGACCTGTTGATAAAGTTTTTAGTCGCATAGAATTAAACTGTGTAATGTGGTTTAAGACGCTATACCAGGACTTATAATCGAGCAACTACACAAGGTATACAATTAACTTATTTGTAGAGTACATATTTACTCGCTTCACATTTTACTAATCGTTGTGTCATTTTCTAAAAATTACTCGATCAGATTAACACTATTAACACGGACTTACGACAATAAGTGAAACTAGCGGTAGTTGCCACTCTTTCTCACGTTATATTAATGTACTTCATTTTTCAAAACATTGCAGTGTTGCAGACCTAATTTGAACCAAATTGTGGCATCCTTGTTTTGCCAGAGACGACCTGTAAACCATACAACTAATAATGTACAATAGAAGTGCAATCGAGGATTGTCTACATGAATCTAAGGTCTGAAGTGCCGCAGCATTTCCGGCCTCTTTGATCCAGCGAGTTTAACGTCAGTTCAACGTGCTGAAAAGCCCAATTTTCTAGACAGCGCGCAATAAGAACGCGCGTGCAACTGTGCCAAAATCTACAAAAAGTATGACCGCGTCCTCCAGAGATTCCTTTAGCTAAAACCGCAGCGTCACACTCCGATGGAGTAAAATAAACATTATTGTCAATTAATCAAGCTCACCTGGCTTTGAAACCAACGCAAATAGACATCAAAATTTTACCATATGCATACTTTTGAAAATATCACGTGACCAAAAAGTTTCCGCTGGTTGGTTGGGAAGCAATCAGCTCTATCACCGCCCTCAATAAGGGCCAAGAAAATTGACTAAAGTATTCAAGTTATTACAAACGCGCGTGTATTACATACCATCATCAAGTATCAGATTTTTGTTTACTTTTCTATTTCACACGACAATCGATTAGTTTTCAGCTCTCCACAATACATCTTATAAGTACATACTATAAGTACATACTAAAGGTGTCAGAACAAGATCAGATGAGTCACCAGTTTTTAGTTATAGAATATATAGATGATATTATGGTGTTGAGTAAACATTATTGTATAAAGTGTGTAATACACTTATACACTGTATAATACACTTTATACAATAAAAGCCCGATTTAACTCTTCCCTCTTCCACAAAGTTAGGGAAAATGTCCACATTTTTAGTTTGCTATCACGTGATCCTTCAAAATACGGCATATAAGTCAATATATATATATATAAGTCAATAAGTGGGTCCCTGATGTCAAACGAGCTTGTTAGGCTCGTTGCTGATTATTACCCCTTATTTGAGTGCTTGTTATCCATAACCCATAATTGGGAACCAGTACTGGGCGGGGACTGTCATCCGACGGGGGCTAAAAGGTCAAAACACCCCGAATTACCGTATTATTTTCCTTTCCTCCAAATTGTGCGGTAAATCAGGGTTTTACTGTAGCTGTATTTTAAGAATGATGTGTTTTTAGTCACGTGCCAAAAGTCAGTAAACATACGTTGGGTCTTTTAACCTAACATATATATGTACTGACTTTGCCCCCCCCTGTAGCATGACACGTGCTATATTAGCATGTCACGTGCTATATTAGCTTGGCACGTGCTATATTAGCATGACACGTGCTATATTAGCTTGACACGTGCTATATTAGCATGTCACGTGCTATATTAGCATGACACGTGCTATATAAGCATGACACGTGCTATATTAGCATGACACGTGCTATATTGCATGTCACGTGCTATATTAGTAGGATAGGCATGAGAGGTATGCAGATTATTCCTAATGGGGTAAAAGTTTACATTTTAATGGACCACCCATGGAGGTCCGGTATTGAGTATTGGCTCCGAGTCAAGATTCTAGAATTTGAGATATGGATCCTACAATGGGTATTTACCATGAGATATGGGTCCTAAAAAAGATTATTCTTGTCAGGATTGTTTCTAGTATTGGTTTGTATAGAAAATGATGATCCGGGTTAAGATTATAGTATTACAAGAGATGTTCAGATGGATCGAATATAGATGTGTTCAGATTAATTAAAAGATAGATTACCTCAGATTCCCATCATTTTTGTAAAGAAATATTTTTTAAAAACGAGCAAAGCACGAACCTGTTTCTGTCAATGGAAGAGAGGATAAGTTTATCAAACTCAGAGTGTAGCTGGTGGAAAGTGGGCCTCTTGGTGTAGTCCAGCCAGCAGGTTAACATAATGTTGTAAACCACGTCCGGGCAAGCCTCTGGTTTAGGCAGCTTTATGTTGTCTTTAAGGTACTTTAGAACCTGCGGGATAGTGTGTTTTAGTTACGTGTTGCGTGTTTTAGTCACGTGTTGTGTTTGGACAGTTTTTATTCAGGTTATAAAGTGTGATTAAAGTTAATTGCTGTCAAGTGTCAGAAATAAAATAACACAAATTACACGTCCCCACCAGTTACTGTAGACCAAAGATCTACTGCCTGAATAGTTACAATTGTTGTGGATAAGATTAGTAGCAATATCCCGACAGTACCCTAACCAAAGTTTTACAATTACAGGTAAAACCTTAACGTCACATCCCATACTATATTATATAATATTTATCCTCACATACCAGAAATACGATCATTATCAACGACTGCTTTAGTGAATTTTAAAATGTGGGTAGACATAAAAAGCTGATCGTAACGTCATAAGCTTCATAGCATGTACTGTAGTGGTATGTCTCATAATTTTGGGTTCATTCAAAGTGTTTTAAATTAAAATAGGGTTTGATAACTGACGCGACATAAAGTCATACTACGTGACAGGAAGTCTGTAGACGATACAGCGTTGTTTTGACAGGGAATTAAGAATTTGATAGGTCGCTGCAGCAAGCTTGACGTGATGGAGGTTATTCCTGCACAGCAAAGCAAATTGTACAATTTCTGCATAAGCTCTAGTCAACGGTATTGGAGCTATTTTACACAGCATTACAGACAATCATAATGAACATTGTGTTTGTCTTTGAAGACTCAGAATCTGTCCAATCAAATGCGACATAATAATAAATCTCGCTGGCAGAAAGGCAGACCGGGAATATGCTGAGTTTCTGTATTTGTATTTGAAAGTGTGTCAAATCTGGGATTACCCTAATCAGCAAACGCAGCAGAGAATACTCAGTATTCTAAATACTGACATATCATTATTATATATCAAGTATTGACCAATAAAGCTCCAGAATCACTGTCGCGTGCTCCAACTCCCCGCAAGAATCCAAAACTACAATTACTAGCAATATTATCAAGCTGGACAATATATTATGAACTAGCAGCCTTCTTCTAAAGCTGTAAGGAAGAGGAAGGAAGGGTCTAAAACTTCCAACATTTATAATAAAAATAAATGTAATAACTTAATAATATGTGAATTGTTCTTCAAGTAAGTTCATTAACAAGATAAGATGTAGGGTTACATAGACTTAATCTTATTGCAGTAATATTATCTAGACTACAAATTATTTATTGAGGAACACTATAATTTATAATTTACGCTTATAAAAAAGATAACATGTTGTTTTATACAGAGGAGTTGAACAAATCTCCGACTCAAAAACCTGCAACCCCCAAACCTGCGACCCATAACCTTTACAACTCAAGTCAGTAATAATCCTGGGAGTGTTTATCTCAAAGTTCCGTACATTCCAAGAGCACCCCTCCCTTACATAAACACGAGCCTTGGTGATGCGTTACAAATATAGAAATATATGTCAAATGTTTGTAAAATGTGTGTAAAATATGTGTAAGATATCGTGTAAGATACATGTAATATTTCCAGAAGTTCCAGAAGTCTTCTAAAATATTCCAAAAGCACCGCTCGCGCTCTCTCCTACACACACACTCACACACACACACACACACACACACACACACACACACACACACACACACACACACACACACAAACACACACACGAGTCTTGATGATGCGTTACAAATATGTGTAAAATTTCAACAATTTAGGGCTAACTTAAAGAAGTTGCAACTCGTTAACTACCACAAATTCCAGGTACAAAATATATTTATGAAGGAGCACTATCCACTCCGAATACCGCACCAATCAATCACTGCTCCGAAATAGAATGCCTTCCACTCACTTCAATGCTGCACACAACATACCGATTATACACTGCTACATTACATATTACAATATAGATCACTGTATTTCCATTAATAGCACTATATAATATAATTTCAAGCTTCTTCCACCGCCTGAGATAAAGACCGAAAATATATATATATATATATATTGTCCTGTTAAAGAGCGGTGAGTAGGTATAGTATTACAGAGATAATCTCATTTCAAACTACGGTATATTGAGTTATGTACATTTGGGCTGTACGGGGCTGGGTTTGGGGACCGGGGAGAAGTCTATTATAATATGACGTCACACCACGTGACATGACGTCACACCACGTGACATGACGTCACACCACGTGACATGACGTCACACCACGTGACATGACGTCACACCACGTGACATGACGTCACACCACGTGACATGACGTCACACCACGTGACATGACGTCACACCACGTGACATGACGTCACACCACGTGACATGACGTCACACCACGTGACATGACGTCACACCACGTGACATGACGTCACACCACGTGACATGACGTCACACCACGTGATATGACGTCACACCACGTGACATGACGTCACACCACGTGACATGACGTCACACCACGTGACATGATATTATAGTCGCACAGTATTGATCAGTAGAAAAATGGTGTTTTAACTCATTGATAAGGTTTATTTTCAAGGTTCATTTGTATTGGTAAATCCATTACTTACGATTATTACATTTTATAATTTCTCTTACTGATACACAAAAGGTAATATAATTAAATCTTTAATGTTATGTAAATAAAGACAGAGGTGTATGAATGCAGGCCCGGGCATAACAGGAAATCATAGTTAATACTGCTTGTTTGCGATATCTTGGGAATATCAGGGATACGTCCTCGTTATACAATATTATATTCTTACAACTTTAACCTCAGATAACTGATCGGTTTTGAGTTTTGATGATTTATCAGAGCAGTTTAGAATCTACTGGACAGTTATTAAGATGTTATGAGTTCACTGTTTAATAGCGCATTTCTGGTCATTGTTAATTCCTGGTCAATTGTAAATTGGCCGGGGCCGGGAAAAATGCCTCCCACGGCCACGTGTAGTTTCGTTTTATTGGCTGAGATCGGTTTGATCAATAAAAACTAAACCTAATTTCCGCTTTGAACTCTTTGATCAAAACTCCTTCTCTTAGGAATGTAAAGAGAAATGTAACGATATTACAATCCCTACGCCCTACATGGGACTTTATGGCTCTGAAAACTATAATCAACAGATTAAACCTAGTTTGACGATCACTCTGTAACATTACAGACTTGTCAGATATAATATAGCTGGTATAGTTGAACTAAACACAGAGTCCTGACTCCTGAGTACACATAATATGTAGCCACGCTATGTGTGGAGTCTGGAGGGTATCCCAGGTATTTGCAGCCTAATGCTCAGATGCATTGTTTAGTCTGAAGTTTTCATACGGGAAAACGGGCGCTTTTACGTTCAAATTGGGAGAAGTTATATATTAAAATATGCTATTCAGTCCAAGGGTATTTACGGGTAATATCTAATCGAATGTTGGGGTATTAATTACTGGAATTAAATCAGTTGAGTGAGTGTGTGTGTATGATATGCCCTGCCTGGGGGGGGGGGGGGGGGGGGGGGGGGGGGGGCATAAAATGGCATAAAATGGAGACTTTTTTCTATGGAGAAAATGGAAAAACCCTTGAGTAATTCTCCTATCTGCACAAAATGTGTGTTGTTTGCACACTTAAAGTTTCTCAAGGTATGGTAATGTAGATAGTATTAGCTTCTTGGGTCTGAGTTAATGACATTAAGACCATTTAATCTTATTGAATCCGGATGGGAGCCCAATATAAATTCGTTTAGGTCGGAAATAAGTATGTGTATCTGATGGTGATTATGACTCTAGACTTTGTAGACATTTATTGTTATATTATATAATTATGTAATATATTATGCATAGTATATATTATGTATAATATATTATGTATAATATAATATTATGTTTATATTGAGTAAAATGTTAAATGAATGTGATGATGACATTAACTATAATATCACAAGACAAGAATTTAGTTCCACAGAATTTAACGCACAGTTACGCAATAAATATTACAGCTATTTTAAGAATTAAAAGTATTAACAACATTCCACAAATATGGAAAAGCCCCAGCTCTAATATGTGAAATGCTAATAAAAAAACGAAAGTTTCCGAATTTTCAGTGAGGTTCTGGAACAAAGGTGAAAGTACAGTTTGGGCAATATTTTTATTTTTAAATGTTAATGGTTAGACTAATTACTGATAAATGGCAAGAAAACTATTTCAATTATTCTAAATTACTGTATCAATCAAAAAAGTTTTAAATTTCCTCCCAGTCCAATATCTCTCCCCCTTAAGATTCACAAATCCTAAATTTATGTAAAAACGTAAAACATGGGTCGGTGAAATTCCCATGTAAGGAGAAGAACTTGACCGGAAATACCTCATCAAACTATTAATAGCGATAACTTCAAAATTTATACCGACACCAGAGTCCAGACCCCTTTTTTTGGCAGACAATAACTCGATAAGTAGAGTAAAGATATCGTAATGTACCTTCGTACACTCAAATATAAATATCAATTCAATCAATCAACATGAGATCCGATTGCTGGTTGAATATTTGTTTTAAATTATTTTATTACCGCCAGAAAGGCTGGTCCTAGGAATTAGGATTAGGGTTCCGCCTTTGAGAAATTAGTTATTTTTCAGCCACACAGCGAATTAATCATTTATAGAAGTAATTATATTATCTTTTTCAGTATTAAGTTGGTAATTATGTCTAGATCTGTATTAATGTTAGGTATGTTATGTATGTGAGATTATGATCAAGAGGAACATTACCTCAAAATGCATCTCTCTATTATAATTCAGAGAATTCTTTTTGTACACTGTACGACCGCCCACGTGAAAATCAAACGAAAAATATGAAAATGCGTAGTAACCATGGTAACGAGGGTTATTACACGCACGTGCACGTGCAATGATTCTTTTAACGTCATTTTGATCGGGTTTGTTGATATTACGCTGTGTTTAGTACGAGCAACATTTTAATTGGCTGTATCTTCGGTAGTGTAGGATATTTTTTGACGCGATTTAAATTTACTAACAAAAAATACTATTAGCTTCCTCCCTGTGACCACGGGTTTTCTAGTATTGATATAATTTAGTTTTAAACTAATTACAACGTCACAAATCTATCACATTTATTGAGTAGTATGTAATGGGATGGAAATGTTGTAACCATGAGTAGTTAGTCCACACCCTGGCTCCACAATTTGAAGAATTCGTTTCACTTCTAGATGAAAAGCTCTAATAGGTAGGTAAGGAAGTAACCTGGAAATTAATCTGTTGGAAGAACGTTTTATGACTGTGCGGATGATATTCGTATAGCATATTTGGCTACATCACAGTAAACACAGATTTAATTCGTGTAATTTATTTTACTGAAAAAGTCAAACGTTTACCTCTTAATTACCTTTAATAGTTTAATGTAACTAAAAATGTTACCCTGAATTAAAGAATACAAGTTATCTTATCTTTATAAAGGACCACGAGAGTTTAGTAGTTATATTATCTTTATAAAGGACCACGAGAGTTTAGTAGTTATCTTATCTTTATAAAAGAGCACGAGAGTTTAGTAGTTATCTTATCTTTAAAAAGGAGCACGAGAGTTTAGTAGTTATCTTATCTTTATAAAGGAGCACGAGGGTTTAGTAGTTATCTTATCTTTATAAAGGAGCACGAGAGTTTAGTAGTTATCTTATCTTTATAAAGGAGAACGAGAGTTTAGTAGTTATCTTATCTTTATAAAGGAGCACGAGAGTTTAGTAGTTATCTTATCTTTATAAAGGAGCACGAGAGTTTAGTAATTATCTTATCTTTATAAAGGAGCACGAGAGTTTAGTAGTTATCTTATCTTTATAAAGGAGCACGAGAGTTTAGTAGTTATCTTATCTGTATACACTAGAGTGTTCAGTGAATGACGAGCTAGGTCGGCCCAATCACCACATGTAAGGGTCTTACACGATTAAACAGCGATTTATTTTCTAAGGACGTTCACAAATTCAAAATCGCAAATTGATACAGTACAATATGACCAATGCCAACCTCTCTCAGTCCTCAATATTGCTTAACTTCAAAACTTATCATAGGGTCGTATTATGATCAATCTAATTTATTATAATTTGATACAACTCATGTGGATACTATATCTCGTAACATAACTCCCACCCAATGCGTTCCAACACGTATAAATCCCTAAACCGCACAGTCATATTCATGCAAAATATGTGAATTATGCGGTGCAAAATATGTGAATTATGCGGTGACGAATGGCGGGTTGGCAGAGAGCGCTACCTTAATGACAGCCTCATGTCACAAGATAACCTCGGATGACAACTAGTTACTGGGAGCTGGCGGAGAGGGTTATATTCCCTGGGGAGTACACATAGTACGCATTCTTTATACGTGTACACGTTTGTGTGTGCTGGTGTGTGATGAGGGAGGTTGTCGCCATAGCGACCATTCACAAATTCCTGGACGGAGATTCCTACATTTTACTAAAAATTCCTGGTTTTCCTAAAATTGATTTAATACACGACGGGAAAGGGGATGTGGGTAGTTCGGGTTACAGGCTATGTTAAATATAGTTTCTAATATAGTTTCATTAAATTAAAAGTTTCATCAGATCACCTGTTTCATCGAATTATTTATTTTATTAAATCATTTGTTTCATTAACAACACACCTCAAACAGATCCCGTAAAACAATAATAATAAATAATGAAGTTAATAACAACACTTAGCAGATAAAACTTATACTCACTTATGCAGTGTTATGTTATGGCCTATAATTTTAAAACTTTTGTTAAACCGAGAAATTTAAGTGGAATTTAAGGGTAACTGGTGGTTAACAGTAACACAACGACAGCTCCTTTATAATACTTTTACAATACTCAACTTTGTAACAAAATAGTTACTAGAGTGTTTTACAAATACAGTGTATTCTAAAGCGTATTTTTAAGACAGCTGGCGGTAGACAGCTGCAGTTAAAACCCCCTACTTAATTTGTATCTAACATACAATTAGGTATGGTACTATAATGTCTTGTAATGAATTATGATAATATGTATTAACGTATTATGTCTTGTTCTCTTTCTTTTCAAGGTCGATTAATAATTAGGTTAAAAACCATGGATTATATTTATATACCTATAGCATGGTCTACAGTTTATTCAAGCTAAGCTAAACTCTCAAGTTATATATATAATATAAGTACATACTAAAAGCCAAAATTATGTACGCTCAAAACTCTAGGATTGGTAATAATAATCGTTGGAGCCGGCTGACAACTTTAAAAAGGTTGGCGAGCCTTTGATATGTTTTAAATTTACGTTATCTACGTCGCATGCAAATTTCAGTAGGCAAACCCAAATATTTTTAGGGTTTTAAAGTCACTCAAAAAATAATTATTGCGACATTTAAAAATAAAGCGTCTTTCGTCTGCCGAAACATAATATAAAGATATTATATTTATCCAAACCACGGCTCCCTCATAAACTATCCAATTACGCAGTTTTAAAACATTTCCTTCCTCCAGTAAACACTCCTAGTTAGTACCTACCGTTTTGAGGGATAAATGCAAAACTATTTTTCAGATCCCTTCTAAAACAACTCTTTTCCCTTCATTTTCAAATAAGTTTCTTATTTTTTAATTAGGTTATATTATTGGAACACTCCTCACAAAACCCGAAATTCAGCAAACAGCACGCTTAACAAGAAAAGGAAAAATCAGCCGTGTACTGTAATTAAGTAATTAATTATCAATTATCTCGCTCAGAATGTATCACGTGGTGGTGGTTAATCGATCTTTCCTAATTTCCTGCCAGGTTTGCAGTGCTACTCTTATATAACTATTTAACTACGTGGTAGTTCCTATCTTGTAAATTTGTACTTTTTAATACAATGTAGAGCCAAATTAAAGCGGCCCGGGGGGGGGGGGGGGGGGGGTCAAAGCGGGGGGGGGGGGGGAGCTGGAGGGGGTAATGATTATAATTATTGAGGCTTATTTGAAGATAACTGATAATATCACAGAGAATAGAACTGGTAAGCACACATAATAAAACATGTTCTCAATTAAACATGTTGATGATTCCAAATTGTTATGTAAGATCTGATGTTTATCATGATTATAAACATCAGCAAACAATGTGTGAAAACAGACCTAAGACCCCCACCCGCCACCGTAACATGAAAAGTTTAGATGGATGAAAAACAAGTAGTACAGTATAAAAGTTCACCCCCTGGCCCCGGTTGCTACTATAGTAACGAACTCACCATATCATTAGAAACGTTGCCCCAGGGCTCTGCTCCCCATGTGAAGATCTCCCATAAGACCACGCCCATGCTATACACATCACTGTAATGTGTGTACATCCAGTGTGTTATAGCTTCTGGTGCAGTCCATCTCACTGGGATTTTACCGCCCTGATAGGTAGAGAAGTGTGGTTAGAGGTGAGAAAAGAGGGAAAAAGGGGAAATAACTGGGGCAAACAGATTGAGAAGAGTATGAAACTAAGTTCCTCATAGCTCAAAATAGACCGTTCTCAAAATTAATCACGCATTCAATGCTTTTTAAATTAGGTGCAACAATAATATTATAGTATCATCAAAGTACGTGGTTAGAATGTGGTTAGTAACCAAAGCGTGGTTGCTATACACACTAACCACTGGTTACAGTAGCTGGTTACCACTGGTTACAGTAGCTGGTTACCACTGGTGGTTACCACTGGTTACAGTAGCTGGTTACCTGCACTGGTTACCACTGGTTACAGTAGCACTTACCAAATGTGGCTTATAATACTGAGAATCTTCTTCCAACATGCGGGACAACCCAAAGTCGGACACTTTGCAAACACCGAACTCGTCCACTAGGATGTTCCGAGCTGCGAGGTCCTGAGGTAGTGGGAACTGTGAGTTTTAAATAGATTAACTAATTTGAGGTTAATTTTAACTAATTCGAGGTTAATTTTAATTAATTTTAGGTTAATGTTAATTAATTTGAGGAAACTGTGAGAAGATCAAAATGGTGAGGTTGATTTGGAATTATTTCAGATCTGAAATTAAACAGTGTAGTCAGGATAAATTAATACCGAGCCCTTAACCCGCTATTTAAAATTTTCTATTTTTAGTGTCCAGATACCTTGCACAATGATTCACTATAAATTAACTTATAACAATTGGTAGAGCTGGCATTAATGTTTTCTGGCCGACAAACTCAATAGAGTTAATTTACATCGTTTTGGGTGATTTGCAATTGTTGTTTCAATCATTTATATTACCTGGTATATTATTTACATCTAATTATATCATTTACTTCTCAGTATAATCAAGAAGTAAATGATATGATAAGAACATAATATAAATTATGTATTCCAATTGTATCATTAAATTTAATAACTTCTTATGATATTCGTAATATTGCTAGAATCTAGATAATTACAGTCCCGGACAATTTTACCTACAAAAGCTCTGGACAAATTTTCCAAGTGCGCTTGGATTAACTTATAGATCCGTTAAATAATTGAATGGGTAATTTTAGCAGACTAGCAGATACCATACCGGGAATTCCAGTGAAGCAGGAGATTTAAAACATTAACTGCAATATCTGTGAAATCGTAAACTATTGCAATTTTGTTGTTATTCTTGAGAACAGTGTATAATATGAGTCGAGTACTAATTCGAATTAGAAATTTAGACACATTAATACAGTAATTGTTTTAGTAAGGTAATTGTTTTAGTAAGGTAGACTACCCATAGCTCTGAAATGAAATAAGGGCTGGTTACTGAATACCGAACGTACCAAAAGTGAACTAAATCACGCACCTTAACATGGTCTTCTTTTAAAATTAAATTGAAGTTCAAGACTTAAACATTTAAACATAGTTATGTTAACGAGCAAATCTACGAGATTCCGCAGATAGATTTAGTGACAGGCACTGCCATGACGGTAAAGCTGGTAAGGGCACGGTACCAACTTCAAAATATCTGGAATTCCATACGATCAAAATTCCAGGGATTTCATGTTTGAAATTCTTAAAAATGTGTGGAAGTTTTGATGAAACTTACCCGATGAACAAAATTCATCTCACTGAGGTATTTCATCCCTGATACTATCCCTCGAGCCATGGATAGCAGTTCTATTACTGTCCTTAAACATTTAACTTCCTGAAAATATAAACAAATTAAATAAATTAATTCTAACATTTAATCGTGACTAATAATATTCAACGTTACATTTTCATTTATTATGTTATTTAAAACAATGTTACAGGTATCTAAATATTATAATGTAAAATAATCCAATCTCTGTCATTTCATGATTAAGTATGAAAGTGTTCTCATTAAATGCGGTGTGATGACCAACGAACTTTGTTGCAAAATTCGTTTCTGCGACATTTTACTATATAATGTATAATAATAGATAATAATAATAATCGACTGTGCGTTGGGAACAGCTGCTCTAGAGAATTGAAACTTGATTTGGATCCAGTTTATTAGATCAGCATTTTATTGCACACGTACATGTAATGGTCCCAAAGAATGTAATTATTTCATGCCTAAAGATGTGAAATGAGGTTGAATCTGAGTTTCTTCTTCACCACAAATTCGATCAATTTCTACCAATTTAAATTCAGGGCGGATTCGCTTTCAACGAATAATAGCCATAGTCTTATACAAATCAAATTTATAACCCTAATGAACTTTTAGCAACCGATAATTGGTAACAACTACTCAAGTACTGATTGTTTTCTGACGAATGAACTGAAGTCCAGTCAGAAATCAGATGTTTTCAATAACGTTTTCTCAAATTAAAGTACTAACTACTACATTAGTTCAGATATAAGTTACGGTATAGTACCAACTACCTTACCCTAGCCTAGGTAAAACACTGTTTCAGCCCTTTCAAACCTAGCTTTATCCGACATAACAACAGCTGAGATAGTGAAGCTACTTAACTTTATTGTTTACATGTGTAGTCTAGAAGCAGTCAGATCATTACATTGTTCGGAAGTAGAGTATAAGGAAAGTAGCAAAGATACACAAACAGACACGTCGTCTTCTTCAAAGGCCATTGGGCCTGCATGTGAATTAGAACAATGTTCAATGGAGCGTGAAGAGTTAAATGACGTAGACATACTTAGCGCCTGTCACGTGATGTGACGTCATACAACGTGGTTTTACATACTTAGCGGTGTGGTTTATTCTTGCAGACGTGCTAAAACATATTTTGGTCTACAGTAAACTTGTTTAAGATTGGGAGCAGGATCTGTTTTGCATAGTATGATATTTGAACTTTTGAAGCCAACAGAATATAGATTAAAATTTAACATTCGAGCATGTATTTTGATCGGAGGAATTTGCACTGAGGAATTCAAAGAAATGAAAAAGTTCCAGGTATGAAAATACCGGAGGAATTTTAACAAGTTTCATATATATATTAAACGTGTTAAATTCATTTAGTTGAACTAAAGACGCGCATCAAGTTCATTGTATAACACTGTAGAGTGTAGAAACTTTCCCTCACATGGCTAATTATCAGTTAATTAGTTAACTTATAGGTTAATTAGCTTACTAAATACCAATAAGCTACCAAAATATGCTCCTTCAAACCGAGATTCATTGATCCACCTCTATTAATAGCAAGATGGCTTCTGTTCTTCTTCTGGGTTTCCTATTCAAAATAGCAGCCAGCGACTTTTCCTTGTGGTCGTAAGGGAGTGTCAATCTCAGGTCTATTAGTTGATAATCTCTATTGTTATCACCATCATGGTAGAGTCCTTGAGGAAAGCTGGCACAAGGTCCTCTCAGGGACACGATCAACCTTGAAAAGGCTTGCTGCCAATATCTGACCTACTGGAGGCATCATACCAGACACAAGAATAGTAAATAGGAGGAGAGGAGGAGAGGGTTAAAATCTACCTTAAATTACTATAAATATCCGCCCTGTCTTACTACATGACCACAGCTTACAATATAACTTTTATAAAACCGTTCTACACTTTATTTAAAGTACTAAAACGAACCTGGCGGATTTTACACTTCGGAAAACGGCGACAATTAACCCTTGTAAGGTAATCTACCTTTAAATATTCTTTAAGATTTTGTGATATTATGCTGCACTGTGGAATCAAGTGGTGTGATGTCACGTGATTTGATGTCACGTTAGGTGGTGTGACGTCATGTCACGGGGTGTGATGTCATGTCACGAGGTGTGACGTCATGTCACGTGGTGTGACGTCATGTCACGTGGTGTGATGTCATGTCACGTGGTGTGATGTCATGTCACGTGATGTGATGTCATGTCACGTGGTGTGATGTTATGTCACGTGGTGTAACGAGAATAAAGAATTTCATTGTCATTTGTGATTTACCTTTAAATACTCTTTAAGACTACCGTTTTTCATAAATTCTGTTACTATCATGAATTTATCCGTCCGCGTTACAACTCCAATTAGTTCGATAACATTTGGATCTTCAAATTGTACCTGAAAGTAAATAAAATGATTAGAAAATATAACATAATATCCAGTGTAGGATACGTAACTTTTACATTAGTCGTCATCTTTTGACAGAACAAATTATGCACTGTCAAAAAATAATGACAAATCATCACGCATCCTTGATGTGACGATCTCCAACTGTAACAATACACCAGAGCTTAAATATTTACAGAACTAATCACAAACACGCTGCATCGTCACGATCCTCATAACTCCGAAAGTTGTTACCATTACTGTCAGTAAGCCTCAACACCACAGCAATTTAAAAGCGAACTCCACGAGCTCCATTCTAAACATACCACCACGTTACAAATAGCTCTGCTGACAAGTCATCGTCACATTCCGATACAACTTCACTGTGGTAGTCACGTGACTTCACTCTAAATATCACGTGGGCGGCGCGCGTGACAGCCTTGTTTTAACACGACGCGTGAAAAAAGCTCAACAACTGCGGACTAATACGAGCATATACCAACTGTATCGGGATCGATACCGACCCTTAAAAATGCACTGAATCATAAAAATGCACTGAAAGAAGCACATTGTGACCTTGCTAATGATAAACGAGCTGACATATTTTTACCATGATTGCGGCTTCGGCAAGGAATTCTCGTTTCTGATCGAGAAGTGTGCTATCTTTGAGTATTTTGGCAGCGATCTCCTTGGGCTTGCAGCCTGGCAGTGTAAACGTACCCTTCCAGACGTCTCCAAACTGACCTGAACGTGAACATATTAAATAGTTTATTTAATTTATAAATAACTATAAGAACACGCTGTCTGGCCCTGTAGTACATTGCTTACTACTCCTAACTCCTAGGCATAATATTACGGAATAGTCTTCGAACATGATTGGATCATATCCGATGAACTTTATAGTTTAATTAGATTGGTTTAAAAGACGCGGGAAATACGGGATATTGACGGTGTGTGCGAATAGGAAAAGTAGGAGCATGTAACGTGCCACTCTGTAGTCTGTATCGGCACAATATAGTATAGATAGATCATTATAGATATTCACGGGTTGGGTCCGATAATTGATTAATATATAGATATTATGATAATATTACATTATAATATTATAACGAATATAATATATTATATTACATATTATTATGTTATATTTATGTTATACTTTATTATTACACATAAATTTAAGTAAACTATTGTCATATTCGGGCTGGTCTTTACACGGGATACAATGTCTTTCGAACTAAACTCTCAGGTTAACTCAATGTATCTTATTAAAGTGTCGTATTTTATTTAATTATAACGAGTTAATTAGTTAATTAGTTAATTGGAACAGAGGAACAGAGAAAATGGGGCAATTCAACTGATCAGGACTAAAACATTACAGTGTTAACACGTCACAGTGTAAATCAAATGAGAAAAGAAAAAAACGTTTGGTTAAACTTGTTATCATGTAACACGTTTTAATATTCAAGGCCAAAGCATCCGCCTTTACATACCTCGCTAAGTTGAATCAACTTTTCTAGTTTAAAATCTAATAAAGCTTATTTTAATACGATCGTAAATTTTGTTGAATTACAATTAGCTGTTATAGCTGTAATAAATATTATATAATATATAAAGTTCTAACGTTATATAGAAGCTATGGGATTAGGTATTATATTATTGAGGTTTGTGATCGAGCGATAAATAAAAGTCTAGAGTTCAAAGCATCATCTTATTTTAATATATTTTTTAATATAACTTGTTAAATTAATGAATTGATCAGTTAAACAGTTAATTAGGTTATAATTAAATGAAATCAGGTTATTGATTAATGAAATTAAGTTACTAATTAAAAAAATTAGGTTATTTATAATCAATGAAATTAGGTTATTAATTAATGAAAGTTAAACTCACCCTGGCCGCAGACCTTGTCCAGCTGAATATGATTTGGGTCAAGGTTTCTCGCCATCTTGCACAGCGCGTCCTGAAATAAGGGGAAACTTTAAATTCATGTGCATGACTGTAACAATGTGAAAACGAGCACTGATCATCTTAGTGCAACAGATGTTCTTAACTTACAAACTTCTACTTGAACTACATGCAGTAATGTTATGAACTAATTGGTGAAGGTGGAGTTGAACCAATCGGTAAGCGGACCGAATCGTTAAGGATTAATAACTTCCAGTAGGGATGGGGTTTGGGATGAGGTTAGGGATGGGGTTAAGGATGAGGTTAGGGATGGGGTTAGGGATGGGGTTAGGGATGGGGTTAGGGATGAGGTTAGGGATGGGGTTAGGGATGGGGTTAGGGATGGGGTTAGGGATAGGGTTAGGGATGGGGTTAGGGATGGGGTTAGGGATGAGGTTAGGGATGGGGTTAGGGATGGGGTTAGGGATGGGGTTAGGGATGGGGTTAGGGATGGGGTTAGGGATGGGGTTAGGGATGGGGTTAGGGATGAGGTTAGGGATGGGGTTAGGGATGGGGTTAGGGATGGGGTTAGGGATGGGGTTAGGGTAATGATTCTGTGTCCACCTACCCAACCATTCTACCAGAAATATGTGAAATTATTACTAAAGCAGATTTTTATTTTGCATCTCGAGAGCCTAAATTTAATCAACACAATTTCAGAACAATATGAATATGACGTTGTATGTCGTAACGTAATCTACTTATCTTTATTACAACATGAGTCTATTCAGAAAAAAGCAGAAATTTGAAGGAGTAATTCAACTTAACAAATCACATAATCTGAATTCCTCAACGGCTCTAACATTGATTTTCTCTCAAATTTAAGACCCACCTAGTACCTAAAATACCTTACGTGATTAGTGGCTTGCTCCTCGAATAATGAAATGTGGCACAGATTTCTGGCAGAATGGTCGTAAAATGTTAGTTAAAATTAGCAATATTTCTGCCAATTATCCCTAAAAAAATGAGAATAATTAAAAGGCTATATTCCAGAAATAATTCTCGACAGCTATTAACCAACCGGCTTCGAGAATTTACCAATGACAACTTAGAATGGCTGTCACGTGTCAAAACAAGTATCCAGAGCTATATATCACCCCTCGGCCCTCTTCCCGCTGGTGCTATTAAGACGGTGTTGATTACAATAAGGATTTAGGCCTGTTCGTTACACCAGGTAACATGATAAGTTGATAGTTATAATCGAGGGTGGGAAAATCCACGACACAATAAAAAATACTATAGATGCTACAGATGTTTTGAAGTGTCAATTTTCGAGTCAGATGTGAGTTATGATAGAGGATACTCTCGGAGAGATTTTGTGAACAGTTTAACACAATCCGGCACAAGAATGGAGAGAAATGTTCGGACCGTTTTCAGGCAAGAATACTGGTTATTTCTGAGGAAGTCTGAATTTGTTCGACCTTGGAGAGCTAGAGGTCCCAAAAAATTATTGTTCAGCCCTCTGCTATGAAATGCAGGTGAACATCTCATTTCTGAGATGTTGTGATGTCATGTCACGTGAAGGGACGTCACAACAGGTGACATGACGTCACACCCTTTACTATAAAATGCAGGTGAACAGCTCATGTCTTGCATATTTTAAGTATTTATACTGACCAGACAATAACAAGCTATCCACGCTCGACTATTTTGTTAGAACTCAAGGTACCATTTTGTGCATTAATATGATTTGGATATTATGTAAAATTCGAGTACGTGAGCACACATCCGCTTATCGCCTATTTAACAACAGATAACAGATAGGGCCTGTCGACCTGTCCTTGATCAAATAAGTTCCACGACAGGCCCTACATAACAAAGTTTACAAATTGTAAACATAACACAAACTGGTTTTAACTGGTTAGTATGAGTACCGACGGTAAAATGTAAATAGAATTAAAATTTAAGATTAAGAAGTTAAAATTAAGAAGTTAAAAGCCGGAACGGAAAGAAACTACGACATTAACTTAAACCACGCGGAGTGTTAAAGTTAAGGCAAAAACAAACCCGCCCATGTTGCGTGTTGTAACGTCATATAGCGTGTTGTGACGTCATGTCACGCGGTGTGACATCACGTCACGTGTTGTGACGTCATGTCACGTGGTGTGACGTCACCCCAACAAACACAAATAAACAAACCTGAGGATCAGCGTATTTGGTAATAGGAACGTAAGTTCTGCGGTTGTACTGTAGTGACCCACTCCGGGTAGATATTGTTCCCAGCTTGCCATGTTCCAACATTGGGTCCCTGGCGTCCCCAAAGTTACCAAACCGTCTCTTTCTCTCTTTCTTTCTGAGGGTGGACGCGGTTAGGCTCAACTTACCGTTATATCTTTAGAAATGTTTGACAAAGAAACAAACCTAAATTTATGTTCTTTTGAGTTTTTTTATAGCCTGAAATACGTAACTGGTCTAGGGAATTTGTTTGAATTATTCCAATTTGGTTATACAGATAGAACATAATAACATCAATAATAATGATTAATGACAATAGTTAAAATTGGTTCATTATTTATATGTTGTAAAAGTATATTATCATTGAAATGTTTCAAGCTTGTGAAAACTTATTTAAAAAATATAATAATAAGCTACCGATATAACATACTCGTCGTTTTAGAATGATATACTGATAATTGTTAGATTACGAATGACAGACAGACAGACAGACAGACAGACAGACAGACAGACAGACAGACAGACAGACAGACAGACAGACAGACAGACAGACAGACAGACAGACAGACAGACAGACAGACAGATCCGTAAGGAGGTTCACCAGAAGTTACAATTAAGCCGGGGTGAGGAGGAACAGTAAAATGTAACTATTGATGAGCATTATACAGCTGATGCACCTTAATAATAATGAGATATTCTCCACACATAGTTGCTGGAAGAGACCCAAAAAATAAAAGTGTAACAACATTACAGTTATCCAGATCACATCATCACATCCGGTGTAGACTCTATTAATGGGGGCAGGATTAGAGCTGGATTAGTATTCAGTTAGCTATTACTTATAAGTTATAATTTATTTGTGAGTGTGTTCGTCTGTTTTTAACCTGTGCTTAATGTTATTTACAGATGACGTGTAGTCTGCATAATCTATTATAATTTACTAGCTCTGTTTTGGCACAAAGAATTTTATTGGTTATTGGGACTTTAAATTAGGAGATCTGTATATTATGAAAATCCTACAAAGCTACGATTATTAATACAACTATCTGTGTTAAAGTTCTGTAGTAAATGTTGAGCAGTGCTGGATAATATGCAGACTAGATTGAGATTAAATGGTATACTCAAGATGTAGACATACTCAATTCACTATTTAAACTACAACCATTGCTACTAGTTCTTACCTGGGATCTGAAATGGATGTATCTTTCATAGTTCTGAATCCATGAACACTTGAACATAACTTATATATTTGACTGCCAAAGCGTCTATCCCTGAGTACCTTATCATATTATGTATAATATAACATCTATGTTGCTTCAGGTTCAACTAAGACGTAGGCTGTAGGCAGGTGGTGCTCATTTTGACTATTATTATAAGAGCACAGTAATTGACTTATATTCTTATATTGGTTTAAACCGTGAGCTATTTTTAGACCAAATAGCTCATACCGCTCTCTCTATGATGACTTAATTTAAACCCTACTTTTTATGGTGGTTGTTAACTGTTAACTGGCTAAGACGTGTGCAAGTTAACAAGCTTATAACCGATATAAATGTCTTGTTTACCAACGAACATCTGGATCAAGCAACCAATCTGAACTGTTCCAAATTTCACAATTCCTGTAATTAACTAATCAAATAATTATCAAATCAATTAGCCCCGCTGACTTGACGCCAAGCCAAGCCACACCACTGAAATTATCACAGCACCACTAGTACAGTACCGGCCGTGCTGTGTTGCACTCTGTTTACTGTGCTCTATTATGACGTGGTATACCACGTGACATCATACCACGTGACGTCATACCACGTGACGTCATACCACGTGACATCATACCACGTGACGTCATACCACGTGACATGAGCTCATCTTCACAGTTCCAACAGTACGGAACAGTGTTTACTATACTCCATTATCTCGTCACACATATATTATGTTATTATAAATCTTTCTTTTCCCTCTCGGTTATAACAGATGTGATGGCCCTGATAAACTGAACATAAGTGACATTTCTAACTGCTGACTCGATCTTACTGCTACTTTTCCAGACATGACTAGTAGATACAGTTACTAGAAGGTATGCAGTGCACGTACAACTATAACGCAACATTACCCAAGTTAACACAATATGTGTTTACCATGCTCGGTTACCACGTGAGAGGGTAAGCGATATACACCAGGTACCCCACCTCTCTCTCTCTCCCATCAGTCCACAATTGTGCGCTCTAACTTTGAGATGCACCTCCAAATATAGGGGTGGATGAGGGTTTAGTGTGTGGGATTGTTATTGGGATAATAATAGATGTTGAAGATGTGGAAGTGCCACTTTTTGGAGCTGTGATTTGTCAAAGCTGAACAGCAAATCACTGACAAGATTAGTGATTTAGATTCCGGAGGTTTAACTAAGCGTACTTACATTAAATACGTATTATTTGTAAAAGAATTTAATTGCCGGACCTCATGAAGTTCAGGCACATTTGCTAATGGTATGGTATGGAATTTGTAATTCAACTGTTACAGTTATACATCTGTACATAAGTGGTCCGACCCAATAAAATTCAGTAAAACTGAGTTCGGAGCTTAACCAGGTAAATATTACCTGTACTTCAAGTAGAAATACCAGCAGACTTACTCAACCATCACAATACTGTGCAACTGTTGCACAAATGCAGCTCTAAGCCTGAATAACAATAACAATACTCACAGAACTGTCTGCTATTATTCGCAATCACAAAGCTCAATCCGTCACGTGACCAGCCAACCAAACCATGTGACAGCTTATTATAAAGCATTACATATTATTATTATTCAATGCATAATGAGGTGCAGAGACACAGAGTGGAATGCACGTTTTATGAACACCGCGCAATTGTTACAGTGCACTAATTGTTTCAGTTGATTAGACCGATTGTTTTCATTAAAACGGTTACTATTGAACTATTATATTGATTTTGTAAGTTGTAACACTGATTGTCTCACTCAGAAAGATCTATTAATCAATACGACAATTTTCAGGAAATTAGCGCGTAATTTGAAATAAAGTCCATAATATGGGAGAAGTTATAGTGAGGTCTAGATGGTGCTCTACAGGAGTATCATGTGCTGAGACTTGAGAGAGTTTTCCAAATTAAACACACTTATTATTTAGTACACATTCCAGCTGACGTGTTTATCAGCTCCCTCAACTAAGAAACATTAATAGGTCCCTAACAAGGGCTCAACAGTGCACCTCACAACGTCACAAGTGAGACCCATATAATATATACTATAGCCCTGTGTTACAGACAGTTCACCACGTCTCTTGTCCTTTCATCACCTCATCTTCATGAAATGTTTTTCTGCTTAAGAGTCATATGTCATATTATAATATCGAGGGAGGGAGGGGGGAGGGGGAGCTGGAGGGGTAATATCATAACTTCATAATCAAACAAACAAGATCACATAATCAAGAGGCAACTAAAGAACTAAACAGCATACTTCTAATGAAACCCCTACAGATCCATTGCCTCACTCTTCAGTCCCCACCACCACTACTACTACTAGTCCCTAATGAGAGTTATAGAAGCCCATTACAGCATTAACCTCCAATGCTCCAGTCCCTAACGAAATCACCACAAGTAACTAAAAATACACGGTGGTCAGAATCACCACAACCAGACAATTGTGGTGAAGAGAATCCTCATTAGGCAACCAATTGCGGTAATTAATGGTAATTAGATGCGGTTAATTGCGGTGATGACCGTGTTAATTACACTGTAAATAGTTAAAGTGAACGTGAAGAGCCTAGACTATGGATCCTTACATGGTAAATCTCAGATTGTCTGTGTGTGTGTATGCTTGATGTTCGTTTTGTGGGGAAATTTGCGGGAAGACTTATTCTTGTTTGGAACACACCGTGCAACCACACAGTGTACAACGCCGTGTTTTATGAAGGAGTACAATGTCATGATAATTTAATAATGAGATTCTTGGATGTGGGTTGTTTTTTGGAAACTGGACTAACTGGAGACAGTTTGACTGGTTAGCAGGTTAACTTTAAGTAGGTATTTTAAAAGGTTAAGTTGGTATTTACTGTGAGATTCTGTGGGAATTGTATGGTAATGGACACTGTAGAGTTAGACAAACATTACAGTGTCCAGTAGCAATGAACTAAGTGAACATTTCCGAGTTGACGTAGTTGAACCATCCTTGGCATGTAACCTAAAATTTTATCATGATTTCAACCTTAACGTGACTCTCAAACTCCGATACAGTATCACAATTGAAAAACCCCATTTATTTTTAGCATTTTTAAAATTCTAGTGAGCTAAGTGAACAATGTTGATCTGCTTGGTTTGTCCTATATTTACTGCAATAACTATCCATGGTCGACCAAAAATATATCCTGCTCAGTTTAAATTCGCGACAGGTTTAAAACCACATTATAGACGATTTTGATATACGATCGCCATCAAATCATTTAAAACAGTCTAGATATTATGTTAGACATTCCTTAACTAAATAAAGTTTTACGTAGACGGAAGGAAGGCTTCCTGAGTCTCTCACAGGGCAAGGACAGACGGAGGGAGACGGAGGGAGCCAAACTGAGTGTTTAAACTTTTAAAGGCCAAGAAACTAACATTGAATAGAAATTATATAAAGTTAGTTAGTGGCACACAAATACATTTCATTTTTCTCCACTTAATTAATTTAATCAGATAAGGAAAGGACGGAGAACTACCCACGTTTTTGCCAGAAAATGTTTCTGGGAACTCCCCGATATCAGATAACCCAAAATAGCTTTATAATATCACGAGCCACGGAGATATTCTAGTATCTGTAATTAGTACCCCCCTTTTTATACCCTGATTTTCACAGTACTATTTTAATATACTCAAGAACACTCCCAACATTACTCACATTACTCCCTTATTCTACTTAAATACATTAAACAGCAGCTGATTTGATTTCAAGTTATTGGAATGGTTCAAGAAATATGCCTCTTGAACTCTAAAGTATGTTGAGGCCCAGATTAAATTCCTGGGAGAAGGTATGGGCGAGGAAATGTATAAAATATGAACTAATAAAAAGATGGATCACTAAATGACATGCCCGGTTTAACAGGTACGACGTACGTGT